TATATATATATATATATATATATGTATAGATGTTTGAATATATGTATATTCTTGATTAACTTGCTAAATTACCTCGATAAATTAATGAAAGCCTCAAAATGTACTTTGCTATTATCTGGAAAATTGTAAACGAATCATAAACTGCTGTTTGACCATTAACTAATGCTGAGCTTGTTAACAGTTTCTAAACATAGCCTGAGTAGTATAGTTCATGTTAATAAGGTTATGAGGATTTTAGAAGTGCGCTTAAATAATTACAATCTGAGTATTAAGTCAAAACTAAATAAGGTTCGATTTTGGAAAGTTGATTACATAAGACTTATAATTTGTGAATTCCTTTGATGTAACCTACAAGCTGCCTGTTAAATCGATGAATATTGTTTGAGCTAAGAAGTCTAAAATTAGTGAACGCTTACTCATTGCTGATAAATTTGCCATGATAACCATCCATTCATCCATTCTCTGTCATTCTTATCCCTGCTGGGGTCAGGAGGGGTGCTGATGCCTATCTCCAGCTGCCTGTGATTGAGAGGCGGGGTCCACTCTGGATCATTACAGGGCAACACAGAGACAAACAACCATTCACCTACACACTCACACCTTAGGAGAAATTTAGAGAAGCCAATTAACGTAATAGTCATGCTTTTGGACTGTGTTAGGAAGCTGGAGTACCCAGAGAGAACCCAAGCATGCACAGGGACAACATGCAAACTCCATGCAGAAAGATCCCGGGCTGGGAATCGAACCCAGAACCTTCTTGCTGCAAGGCAGCAGTGCTATCCACTACGCAGCCCGGAAAAGCAAGCCTCTAATACAAAAGCTTTTTGCTGGAAAGAGCTTGTGGGATAAGATACGTAAAAGTTCCCCCAGGTGGTTAGACTTACCTTGAAATAGAACCAAAGTCATATTGGAAACATCAGTACTGCAATGAAACGGCGGCAAACATGAATGATTTTGCAAAATTTTCAGTTATTGTAAAATATCTTTTCCCCCACACTGTTTTTTAAAATCTGGTTATCATAGTAAGTCTCTAAATTTGACACAATGCATCAATGTCGTCATTACTGCCTTAGTAAATCCATCTGAATTGTTTTCCCCAACTCAGAGCCCACGGCCCTGATGCCATGATATTGGTCGACGGCCAGCCGCTGCAGTCCAATGGAGAACTAGGCCTTTCCCAGATGCTGCACATCGCTACTCAGATCGCCTCAGGCATGGTCTACTTGGCCTCCCAGCACTTTGTGCACAGAGATCTGGCAACTCGCAACTGTCTGGTTGGAAACGGCCTCCTGGTCAAGATCGGAGACTTCGGCATGTCCAGGGATATCTACAGCAGTGACTACTACAGGGTAAGCCTAAGCCACTGTAACATTAAATAACTCTTTGTTTTAAAGCACCACAATGACTGAGACTGAAACAATATGATGCTTTTTGATGTCTAAGGAGAGGCCAAATGTCCTTGAGCAGACAAAATACCATGGAAACTCAATGCTAATTAACTAAATTTAGTTTATAGTACTGTTGGTTCTTAATTGGGCTCAAAACAACTCTAAATCAGGCCTCTGGGGCTCTCAACTAAAAAGTTAATTCTAATGGTTTGGTAGCTGTTGCTCTCCTGTGTTGTGTTGTTTATATGTTTATGCTTCTATTTTTCCTCTTCTAAGAAGAGTTAAGAGCTCTCCCATCACCAGTGCAGCCTCGGGGCCTCACAACACGCCTCTTGCATCCTGGGTGGAGGATGGGACGCTTTAGCCGCGTGCTAAGAGACAAGCTTGCTGAGCCTGCAGTGGGATGCTCAGGGGCTTGTTTATATTGCTTGTGAATCCTGTCTCCTCTGCTGTTTAACACGATTAGCAACTATGAATGCCTCAAACCAGACGACAAAAACTATGTGGAATTTTATTTATTTATTTTTGGCTGTTTTGCTGAGCAGATGATCGCTACTGCAAATCTTTCTGCCTCAAATAGCTCCTTTTTTTAAAAAGGCTCAAGGTGTGCCTGATAGTGTTTCCCCGGCATGACAGATTGGCCAGTTTGGATGCTGTTTGGGGCACTGCTAGCCTCTATAGAGCGCTACCATACTATGAGAGTTCAGCCTCACACCCATAAAATCATTTGTTCAGAAATTTAAAGGCTAATGGTTACTGTGGCTGACTCTTAGCTTATCCATGCATGCCATCTGCCTGCTCGTTATATACTCTCATAAAAGCAGAATAATTGCTTCAGTTTTAAAAATTTTGCAGCAGGATATTGTTTGCCATGTTTGATATAAACTGAAGAGTTGAAGACGGGGGCAGCAGAACTCCTGGCTACCTGACTCTGCAAAGGAAGGCAGTTCTTCTTTGTTCAATTATATTTAAAAACTACTCAGACCAAATTAGAAACCAAAACAGCATAAACACATAGATTTCTGTTTTCCCCTTAAATTTCATTCTGCTTTTTGCAACTTAAGCCTTATGACATACTCATTTGTGACCTTCCATCTGCCAAGCAATATTGAACTCTTGGCAGCTTCCGTCAGGTCAAATTTAATTTAAACCATTATCAATGGCATGGCATCAGTCTTCTTTGGCTGGTGTTCTTTGTTTTGTTTTTTTAAATTAAAAGAAATATACTGTCATTGTTCCACAACTCTTGCATCTTAAACCTTTAAGTGAAATCATCCCTGCACTATCTGCAGGTTTGTCTTAATTGTTATACTTATTTTTAAAGAGTAATGACATGTTTATAATGACAACCTAATCATGATTGCAATGTCATTCATCGTTTTGCTTCTGATGAACAAATTTCTAGCTGACAGTAAACATCTTAAAAAATGTTAAACATGAATTATTTAGAACATATATTTAATTCTTGATTAACTTGGTAACATTACTCGATTAATTAATGAAAGCCATCAAATGTACACTATAAAAAAATAGAAATCTAAATAAGTAATTTTTTCTTAAAATAAATGCATTTTTTCTTGAATTGAGGAGGTACGCTGGAAAAACGATCTAAAAATTAGTAAAAAATGTCTTAAATTAAGTCTATTTACCCTTAATTTGAGCAGGTAAATGAGATAGTTTGCCAACGGAATGAGCAATTTTACTCTTAAAATCAGATATTTAGATAATATGCACTTGAAATAAGACAATGCAATTGTGTTTTCTAATTTTAAGTGTAAATTGTCTTGTTCCAATGGCAAAATGTCTCCTTTACCTCCTTAATCCAAGAACAAATGCACTTATTCTAAGAAAAAATGACTTATCTAGATTTGGATTTTTTTCCAATTTTTTTTGCCAATGGAACAAGACAATTTACATTTAAAATAAGAAAAAACAACTGCATTGTCTTATTTCAAGTGCATATTATCTAAATATCTTATTTTAAAGAGTGGGGAAAAACACTCCATTGGCAAATCATCTTATTTAACTGATTAAATTAAGGCTAAATACACCTAATTTAAGAAATGTTAACTTATTTGTAGATCCTTTTTGCAGTGTCCTTTGCATGTATCAGGAAAATTGTAAACAAATTATAAACCGCTGGTTGACCATTTACTAATGATGAGCTTGTTAACAGTTTCTAAACATAGCCTCAGCAGTATAGTTCATGGTAATAAGGTTATGAGGATTTTAGAAATGTGCTTAAATAATTACAATCTGAGTATTAAGTCAAAGCTAAATAAGGTTCGATTTTGTAAAGTTATTTACCAAATTCTTATCATTAGGGAATTCCGTTGGTGTTACCTACAAGCTGCCTGTTAAATCGATGAATATAGTTTGAGTTAAGAGGTCTAAAATTTGTGAACACTAACTCATAACTGTTATATTGTCATGATAACCATATCTTATAAATTGATAAACATTTTTGCAATAACAAGGCTTTGTTAACGAGTCCCCACATTTTTTTACTGTAAGTGTAAGTCAAGAGAAACTTTATGAATTAATTAATTGAAAAGTTAGTGAGGTTAATGTTAAAAATTGATTCCTCATTATCAAAGCACATCTTTTCATTTATTTTCAGAAAGTCTTATTGTAATGTCTTGGGGATCTTTCCATCTTTCCCCTCTGCTGAAAGATGCAAAGTGTCGAAGTGATTACTAGTGTGACTGTAGGTTTATCTGCTGGAACAGACATCTTTGAAAAGAGCAAAGTGCTGAATGTGGGTCCCTGTTTTGGCTGTAAAGCAGCTTATCTAATTGTGTCAGTCACAACTGAGTTAGCATGCAGATAGCACTCGCTTGGAAGACTGGTTCAGCGGGCTGTTTCAGTCTCACCAATTACAAGCACAATATACTGTACATAAAAAGTGAAATTATCACAGACATTCTATCAAACCCAGCAGAGCAAAAATCAGCTGCTGTGTTTATGTAATTACTGATAATATATTATGCTAATTCTGTAATGATGTTTTTGTAACTCTAATGGTGAAGTTTTTCTGTATTTTCCAATATTTTCAGTCCTCACTCTGGTTTTTATCAGAAGCAGGATGCCAGCGAGGGATCGCGTCCTTGACTCATGAGACTCCTGCTGGTAGTTCAACTGTCTGGGCGATGGGGGGGTGAAAAGGTTATGGTCCTCATATGCTCCTCACTGACAGTTGAAAAGAAACAGCAGGACACTTAATGTGTAGCTGGACTCTGACCAGAATAACAGTGATGGTTTCCTGTGGATCATTATTTAGCATTTTAGTTGGAATTCCTGAAAACAAGCTCAATAATTAAAAAAAACTTGCAAAAAAACAAACAAACAATATACCCGTATGATTAGTTTTGCATATATATCACTGCAGCTTTTGTTTTCATTTGTTGTAGGGTTTCTATTTTACATGTTTGGGTATTGTTGTATTCAAGCTGCAGGCTTTTAGGCTGATTTATTTTGCAGGCCATGGAACATCAACTGAAGGTTTAGAAAGTACTATGCCAATAAAAGAACCATGATCGGTATAACCCTAACTGTAACCTAAAGTGAATTCACTCCATACCTCTAAACTAACTCTCTAAAGCTAAAAATGGGGGTCGGCCATATTAGCACCATCTTTCCGTCCCCATTAGGCCTGTTGGTCCTCAGAATGTTAGTAAATGTACCAAAAACGGTCCTAAATAGTAACATAAACAACTACCTCACTATAAGCTGTGCTCACTGGAATCGCACATGTATAAGCTGCAACAGGCGATAAGACGCTAATATCTACTGAACTGTCTCCAACCAAACCTGTAGGGGGAGCTTTACTTATAGCCCCTGGAGTCGGGACTAAGACGAATGGTAGCTCCCGTTAGCCTATAAGCTTGCAGCACTAAGAGCTTCTACTGAAACAGGGTTTAATCGGCTCTTAATAGCAGCTCTGCAGGAGTTGAGTCCTGTCTCTTTATTCGTACGACAGGTTTAATGGAGTAGGAAAAATCCACAGAAAAGTTGCACCTTCTTATAAGCTGCATGGTTCAAAGCGTGGGGGAAAAAAGTATTGGCTTATAGTCCGAAAAGTATAGTACCCACCCATACTTTAACTACAGAATAGACGAAAGGTATGAGAACAAAAACTGCTGTCCCCACAGCATGTGGGTACCATTGTACAGACATTCTTCTAACTCCTCTTCCACAAAGGTCTGATGTTTCTGTAGTTCACCTAACCTGACTCTGCCAGATGTAATCATTAAGTAATTTTGGGAA